CTGCTGTAATACTGAAAAATCAGGAACAAACCGCTGTCTACCAACAGAGGGTTGGATGAATCAATTGTGGTATATTAATATGACAGAATACTACACAGCAGTTAAAATGAATGGGCTAGATCTACACTTAACATAAATTACAAAACAACATGGAGCATAGAAAGCAAGCAGCAGAATAATAAATGCAGTGTGATAACAGTTATTTAAAAAAACACATCACACATAAAAACCCCTTTATACTGTGTTGTTTATGGGATATGAACATCAAGTAAAAGTATGAAAACATGAACAGGTCAGAAACACGCCAACTTCAGAACAGTGATTACCTCTGGGAGAAAGAAAGGGAGGGAAATAAGGCTGAAAAGGGAGCATAAAGGATGTTTTGACTATCTAATATCCTAGTACCTAAGGGCGAAGCCCATGAGGCTTTTCAAATTGGAGACAGTGTCACCTGTGCAGAGAAGTGGATGCTTCTATTCCTACTGCCTTCCCTCGCAGTATCATGCATTTCGTGGAGCTGGGAGAAGGGAATCTTAATGTTTGTTGACCTTTTACCACCTGCCAAGTGCTTTATATGGATTATCTCATGCCTGGCAACAACCATTTGAGGTAGGAACTATTATTGGTCCTATTTTAAAGACAAGGTTTAAAGAAGGGTAAGTATCTTGCCCAAGGTTTTAACAGCTAGTGAGCGGGAGAATCAGGATTTGAAGTCGGGTGTGTCTGATGCTAGATCCCACTCTTAACCCCATGTTAAACTGCTTCCCTGATTTGCTGTGCCAAAAAAGCAGAGCAGAACATGGATAAGGATTTCCAAAAGAAGATGCTTTTGGGAAAAAGTGGATGGTTTTGTCACTTTCACCTAAATACTTTAGGTTTGATTTAGATTTCATTTAAAGCTTTTGTCACAGTGGAGCTGCAAACTGAAATATCATGTTTAATTTAACCAAATTCCTATTGTAAAAATTGGTGTTTGTACTGATTTTTCACTAACATGAAAAATGCTGGGATGAAGAATATCTTTTATACACAAATTGCTGTCAGCATCACTGATTATTTTTCCTAGGATAAATTCTAGAAATGGAATTACACTTTCCTGTATATTTGAAATACTTCATTTACTAATAGTGAAATTACAGGATCAAAGGAAATAAACACTGCAATAAGGTTTGCAAACATTTAGAATGTTGATGTCTAAAAGAACCTCCACAATATTTGTGTGTCACCTTTATAGTTGGATGGATATAAATTATCTGGCGTGGAACAGATTGAAGATATTTAGGAAAAGCTATAAGCTTAAAAAGCTGGGCTTGCACCAAGACTGTCTGAAAAGGGGAAAAAAATATCAAAATAAGCTTATCAGAGTGTCCCATCCCAGGTTACTCTTAATAAATTCCCAAAGAAGAAAAATAAATCAAAATGTAATTATAAATCTGAAGAACTTTAAAAATTATTGGACAAATATCAGAAGATAATTTCTTGGGTTAGAAAGATGACAGGGATTAGTCTAACCTTTGTTGTCAAAGAGATGCCCTTACACAGAAAGGTTTGCTCAAATACTTAAACCCAACTGTTTGTGGTTCATAGGAGATGCTATACATCTAAGTTTGAGTGCTTCTTTCTTTTCCTTCTAAAACCTTATGGTTTTCAATTCATATAGCTCACAGGGTGCAAGGGAAAAAATCAATGAGAAAGAAGGCAGAATCGCTTCTCAGCCTTTTGGCTCAGATCAAGGGTGAAAAAAAAAAACAGAATCATAAAGAATATTTTAAAACAGCCATGAAGTAAAACAGAACGCGGCTTAGAAATGTATACCCTAAAAAAAAACAGGATAAGTAAACCACAACGCAACTACTGACATTTAGCAATGACAGAATGCATTCATGCATCTTTGAGGAATAAAGCATAAAAGAAAAATAAAGACAGCAAAGATAACTGATTGAACACGTACAGCATAGTTTACTAAGTCCCCAAACTTGACAAAATGACAGCAAAAGGATTTGTTAAAAGCTGTAAGCCAACAAGGGCATAAAATAGCATACAAATTTTGGAAGCTGGATACTAAATAGATGACACTGACTTAGTGCACTTAAACCAAACCTGATGCCACTGAGTAGATTCCGACTCTTAGCGACCCTATAGGACAGGGTAGAACTGCCCCACAGGGTTTGCAAAGCTGTAAATCTTTACAGAAGCAGACTGCCACATCTTTCTCCTGTGGAGTGGCTGGTGGATTCAAACCATCAACCTTTTGGTTAGTGGCCCAGTGGTTTCACCACCGTGCAACCAAGGCCCCTTATTAGTGCACTGGGGAAACCAAATTCTAAGCCAGAAGAGGAGAAAGCCAAGAAGTGGCCTGATTTACCCAGTAGAGCTCCCCAAAGGTTCAGGAATTAGTGCACCCTGGCATCTTTGGAAGTAGAGGTGAAGGTGGGCCTGGAAAGAAGAGGATGAGTTGAAAGTCTGCATAAGAAGTAGTTACCCACAAATTCCCTGCCGCACTCGGAGCAGGCGGGTAACTGTACATCCTCTAAGAGATCACTGGAGGTTCATTCTCTGGAGACGGTAAAATAGAGGGTTTCTGTAATACTGGATACCAGGTACATTTGAGGACAGTGGTAACATGCTAAAAGAAAAAAGACAAAAACCGACCAACCAACCAAAACAAACAAACAACACACACACTTCAGGAAAAAAAAAAAGAAACTTAGAGGAAACAGAGACCATGAAGGGAGATGATAACTTCTAAAAAACTAACCTTCATATGGTTAGGAATAAGAGAAGATATTTTAACCCTAAACAAGAATAGGATGCCATGAAATAAAAAAAGGAACATTTTGAGAACAAAAAAGAAGAGCTCCTGGAAATTAAAAACACAATAGCAGAAACAAAAAACTCAATAGAAGGGCTGGCACCTAAAGTTGAAAAAATCTCCCAGAAAGCAGATCAAAAGGACAAAGAGATTAAAATAGGAAACAAAGAAAACCAAAGGATCATTCTAGGAAGTCCAATATCTGAATAAACAAGGTTCCAGAAAAAGAACAGAGAGACAGATGGGAGGATATCAAAGAAATAATATAAGAAAATTTCCCAGAATTGAAAAATATGAGTTTTAAACTGAAAGGGCAATGAGTCCCCAGTGTAATAGATGGAAACAGACTTCCATCAAGGCACATCATGAACAATTTCAGAACCCTTGGGAAAAACAGAAGGCCTAATAAGCTTCCAGAAAGAAAGAACGTACACAAAGGAATAAGAATCGGAAAGGTTTTGGATGTTGACAGTGACCCTGGAAGTGAATTCTAACGGAAAATGATTCTTAATCTATACCCAGCATAAGTATCAATTATATGTGAGGGTAGACTAGAGATATTTTCATACATGCATGGTCTCCAAATTTACCTCCCATGCACTCTTTCTCAGGACATTACTGGATGATCTGCTTCTCCAAAATAAGAGTGTACACCAAGGAAGTAAAAGACACGAAATGCAGGAAACAGGGGATCCAACACAGGAAAGAGGTGAAGACAATCTCCATGGGAAAAGAAAGTTGTGCAGGAAAGGAAAAGTATATCACCTGGCCCCCCTATATATCACATTGCTGTTGTTAGCTGCTGTCTAGTCAGCCCGACTCACGGCAACCTCATGCACAATGAAACTAAACACTGTCCAGTCCTGCACTAGCCTCATGATCTGTTGCGGATTGAGTTGTTGTGATCAATAGGGTTTCGTCATCGGCTGATTTTTGGAAGTAGATTGCCAGGCCTTTCTTCCCAGTCTTAGTCTGGAAGTACTGCTGAAACCCCTTCATCATCACAACATGCAAGCACCACTGACAGATGAGTGGTGGCTGCACATGAGGTGCACTGGCCAAGAATCCAACCGGGGTCTCTGGTATGGAAGGTGAGAACTCTACCACTGAACCACCAGTGCTTCAATGAATCATATTAGCATAACCATAATAATGCCAATACTGAATACTGACTTAACCAAAATTAAAATACAACTACGGTGAAACTTGTCAGGGCTGGAAATCAACTTGTTTTTTCAGGTCTCACAAGTTTTCCACTTTTGACAGGGTACAGTCTTACCACTTTTCTATCACTCATTTAAGTGGAAAATATTTGAGTTTTCCTTTTCTGACAGGTTTCTGCCTTATGCAGGTTCTGGCTTTTCAGGTTTTACTGTATATAGTTGTATATACAATACAACTGTAATACAAAATTGTAATATACAACTATATTACAATACAACATAGAGGGATGAGGGGGTGAGTATGTGCGGTGAGGGTGGGTGAGAGAGTGGAATTCTAATCTTCCATAGTGAGAAGTCTATGATGTCTAAAATGGAAAAACAGACAGTAGTAATATAAGTTTATAGTTTAGAGAAATGGTAGTAAAAACTAAAATAATCAATTAAGAGAGTTGGAGGCAGTTGTCTCTGAAGAGGGGGAAGTAGGGGAAGAAGAGTAAGATGCTGCTGTTTTTGCAACTACATGAATGTGTAATGACAAGTATAAAAAACATGAGGGAAAAACTGCATGCAAGGACTTATTCCCCAATGTTAGAGGAGCAGTAAAGCTTTCCAATGAAGTTCCTCGGTAGCATAAATGGTTTAGCACTTGACTACTAGCTGAAAGGTTGGCGATTCAAACCCACCCAGACACACCTTGGAAAAAAGGCCTAGCATCTCTGAAGGAAAACCCAATGGAGCAATTCTACTCTGCACCCATGAGGTCGCCATGAGTAGGAATCCACTGCAAGGCAACCAACAACAACAACAAAGCCTTCCAGGAGTACTTCAAATGGTTTGCATTTTCTAGACACCAAATGACAATGCTGTTCTGCCTCATATGTTGCAATATCCCAGTTTATGACCATCACAATTCAGCATTTCACAAGTTCTTAGAGGATGCAGATAAATCTTTACATTTTAACCAGGCATGTTGAAGCCACTGAAACCAGCAGGTACATCAAGCATGGACTTTCTCAAGTTCTTACCAGCAGTAAAAATGCCCTTGGTGCTCTGTCTCACACTGGAGGGTCTCACGATTGCTGAAAGGCCTGGGAGAAGAAAACAAAAAACACACCCCAAAGCAGATGTTAGCCGTCCATAGAGTTAAACCCGGACCTAGACGTTCTTTCCAGGTATCTAGGAAAGCTGGTGTCCTAGACTGACAGTGACAAGGGCACCAGGAGTAACAGCTGGGAGACTGGAGCTGCACAGGCCCTGACTGAGCACCCTAGGCCTCCTCATCTGGAAACCCAGGCTGGGGGGTAGGTCACCCTCACAGGACACTTTATCACTTTGAGACTGTTTAAAGCTGCTGGTTCTCAATTCCAAGATATAAACAAATAAAAAACACATTCTGTCTCCGAGAGAAACTTTCATTCTGAAAATATTTGCACAGGATTCCTCAGAGAGGAGCAACAAGTCTTCCATGCCCTCAGAAAGGCAGCAGACATTACACTTTTAACAGGACCACATTAAAACTAAAACAAACCAACATGTCTCCCACAGACTTATCTTCAGAATAGGTACGTGGTTACCTATATATTTGCTCCGAAAATCTGGGGCTGGTCCAGGAGATGGTGAGAAGGGTGCCTGTATATTGTAGCTAATGTTCAGATGTGGTTTAATGTTCAATATCATTACTGTAATTGCATCTTGCCCAGTGGCTTGAGCCCTAGAGGAGCTCAGTAAATATTTACTAGAGGAAAACAGGAGAATGTACTCATCTGAGGGAGGCAGTCATCTCCAATTTCATAATTATTTCTTTACTGACTGACCTCATAAATCACCATTAACACCTGAAAGGGAAGCAGGTCTCTGATGGGAAGGTTCAGATTTTTTGTTAAACATTAGGAGGCCCTGCGGATACGGCTGTGAAGCATGGGCTGTGGCAGAGGGCATCTGGTGAACACAGTATGAAACATATCAGATTGGCATCGCTGGATGAAAGCTGTGTTCTCAACGTTATAAAAACATTAAAAGCATCACCAGTCTCCTTCCGTCTCAGACCACCATGAAGAACATAGATATGTCTTTTAAGTAACTTCTAGAAGTTATGCTCTTGGAACCAAAAGAAACATTGTTTCCCCTTTTGACAGTGATTTAGGATCCAGGAATCTAAAAATAGAAGTATTTATATCCTACTTAAAACAAGTGAAAATTTAGATTTGAAAAACCCTGGACTGTCAGTGCTTTCTTCTTAGAGGAAATCTCTTGATCTCACGAGGCAAGAAAGAATAAACACAAGTCTCAGTTCCAAAGTTTGCTTTTACCCATGGCCAGCAAGTTTGTAAGCATACCTAGTCGCACTACCTCTGAACAGTCAGGATCATTAGCAAGTTGGAATAAAGTTTCTTCCACATCTCTGTTTTTTCCAGGAGGGTCCATAATATGATTTATTTGTTGCTGTAAGGTTTTGGGCAATGCCATTAGCTGAGTGAATTGTCCTTCTGGGCTTTTATCTAGCTGGAAGAAAAAAAAAAAAAAAGATGACATCTGTGGAAAGTGCTTTAAATTCTATAAATATTCAAAGGCACAATGGCTTCTCTTTAAAATTACATAAACATAGATGTGCCCACACCTTGGACTCTGCAGCCTGCTAAGGAGATACTCTCTCTCTCCTCTCTGAAGCTGAATGTGTAAAAGGTTCCAGACTCTCAGTCCCTTTAAAAAAGGCAAGTCTTTTTCTATAATATTCCATTTCTACACAAGAAAAGGATAGAAACCTCTTTCAAGATGAATTTCTGATGTTTAAAATCTCTATTTGTCTTAAACCCAGCAGTTAAAGGAAGTAGGGCTGCAGCTAACATGCACTGAGGCCTCATCAAATCCAGGCATTCAAATTATCCCTCCCATTCTAAAGATGGGGAAACTGAGTAACTTGCCCAGGATCATAGTCAAGGAGAGAGAGTAGCATTTGAATTTCTGTCTCCTGCCTCTGAGGTCTTTTACATACCATGCTGTATGTCACAAACTATAGGAATAAATTGGTGACAAAGACTAATCTTGTTCACTTTTTAATCCCCTGGTCATAGAAGGTACTCAAAAATGTTAGTTCAATAAGAGAATGAATAACTGCATCAATAAAACTTAGTTGTCATTATTTGTTAAACAGGAGTAAGTTGCAACAGTGATTTCTGTTCTCAAAGTATTCTAAAATACATCCAGGTGAAAGATAAATTCAGAAATAAAACAGATACAAAAACATGCATCGGACTTTCCTTGGAAACCTCTGAATCGAAAGTTAGCTGCAGAGCTGAGGCCAGAGCCCAGCTTCCCTAACTCCTAGTCTAAGATACTTTACTATGTGGAATTACATTTTGTAAAAATTCTGTAAACACTTGACTGCATGCTGAATTAGAACCAGTAACACTGCCCTCAACAGCTCATCACGTTATTTTCCAAGCAAGATTTTGTCTTGTATTCTTTTAACAAATGTTTAGGTTTTCACTCCAGCTAATAGAAAGAAAAATTAAGAAAAATGAATGCATTACACATTTGATTCAGATGTTCCAGATATTACTACCTTTCTTAATAATTAGAACTTATTCTACCAGTTTTTCATTCAATAAATTTTTATTGAGTACATACCAATGTCTAGATTTCTAGTTTTGTCTATAAAAATCTATGCAAAGAATAAGAAAATGCTATTATTTAGTGACTCTAAAGGTAGAGGGGTGTTTTTTACTTGGCTATTCAAAGCTTGTTCATTAGGACAGTTCTAAATTCACAGGCTCCATCCTCTATTTAGCTTTGGCTATATAAATGACAAACATAATTGTGGCTATATATGTAAAATATCCTAGCGATTACATTTATGAACTTATGTTTTGGGCCAAGTATTGAGATTTGTCAGGAGCCCTAGTAGCACAGTGGTTCAGTGCTCGGCTACTGAAAGGTTGGCAGTTTGAACTCACCAGCCACTCTGAGGGAGAAAGATGTGGCAGTCTCCTTCCATAAATATTACAACATTAGAAACCCTATGGGGCAGTTCTGCTTTGTCCTATAGGGTCACTATGAGTTGGAATTGACTCAATGGGCAATGGGTTGTTTCTTTTTTTTTTAACTGAGACTAGCCCAAGGATCTTATATTTCATTCATGCTTTACCTATGAAACTTCTAGGAATTTTAGAGATGCTAAAATGGCTTGAGTAATATGAGGAATTAGAAAATAATATTTGCCATTGCTTTCTTTTGAAAAAAGAATGCTCTGAAATTTTTACTTGAAGGTATGTGTCTGAAGACAAAATACTAGGTGACATGTTCAAACAAATTGCTAAATTCTGATTTTTGTTACTCTTTAATTCTCATTAAAACATGAAAATGACACCATTCAGTTAAACTGTGAGAGTCAAATTTTAAAAGTAGATATGAAAAAGGTCACATATTGTACGAGTCCATTTATATGAAATGTCCAGAACAGGCAAATCCGTAGAGACAGACGACAGATTAGTGGCTGCCAGTGGCTGGTGGGAGGCAAGAGCTGGGGAGTGACTGGTAATGGGTACAAGGTTTCTTTTTTGGGGGAAGGAAATGTTCTAAAATTAGATTGTGGCGATGGTTGTACAACTTTGTGAATATGCTAAAAACCACTGAATTGCATACTTTAAAAGGGTGAATTTGAAGGTATGTGAGTTATATCTTATAAGGCTGGTACGAAAAAAGCAAACGGGGTCATATGATAGTGGACACTGCGGTACACCACCCAGATCCCGCCTTCAAGACCAAGGCACTCGTTTCACTAGCTGCTGGGAAAGTTAGCTGAGTCCCTCCCAGAACTGTCCTCAGCCGAAGGGAGCTGCCTGTATCCAATGACTGGAAAATGCCAGAGTACAAGAGCCTGCCCTCTGTCCCTCTGGCCAAGAGAGTAAATAAAAAATAAAACTGCACCCCGGGAGGAATGGCAGAGATTAGTGTAACTGGTAGACCTAAAGGATGTAGGGGTGATGGTCCCATCATATCTCCATTAAACTCATCAGTTTGGCCCTTACAAAAACCAAATGGATCCTGGCAGATTATAGTGGACTACTACAAACTCATCCCAATAGTAGCCCCAATTGCATCTGCTGTGCCAGATGTGGTGAATATGTTAGAATAGGTATATGGATGGGGCCCCGGGGCAGGCAAATGAATCCTTTCCATCCCTGTTAGGGAGGAGGACGAGAAGCAGCTCACATTCATATGGAACAGACAACAGGATACCTTACGGTCTTGCCTCAAGGCTATGCTAACCCCTGCATCCTCTGTTATAAGATATTCAAAGGAAACTGGATTACTTGGACATTCTGTATATCACATTGGTCTACTATACCAATGACATATTGTTACTGTCATCTGCTGCACAATAAGGGCAAGTACACAGGAGGCCTTAGTAAGATACATGTACTCCTGAAGGTAGGAGATAAGCCCTATGAAGTTTCAGAAGTCCACTACATCAGTGAAGTTTTTAGGGATCGAGTAGTCTGGAGCATGCTGGGACATCCCTCCAAAGCAAAGGTCAATTATTGTATCTCACACCTCTCACCACTAAGAAAGAAGCACAAAGGCCTAGTTGGCCTCTTCAGGTTCTGGAGGCAGCGTATTTCACAACTGGCAATAATTCTCAGACTCATTTACCAAGTGACACGAAAGGATTCCAGCTTTGTGAGGGTCCTACATAGAGCATAAAAGAGCTCTGCAATAGAGCTAGACACTGTGTATGAAACCCTGCACTTGGACCATACAATCTTGCAGACCCCATGGTACTAGAGGAATATGAAGAGTGAAAAGCAGTCACACAGAACTTACAGTGGGCCTCCAGTGGGAGAATCACAATGTGGACTGCTAGGGTTCTGGAGCATGGCCATGCCATCTACAAGAGAGAATCACATGCTATTTGAAAATCAGCTCCTAGGTACTGGGCCCCAATGGAGACAGAGCTGCTGATCATGGGACATAAAATGACCACATGGCCAGAACTGCCGTCACAAGCTGGGATCTGTCAGATTCACCAAGTCATAAGGTCAGGCAGGCTTAACAGCAATCCACTGTGAGATGGAAGAGGCACATCAGGACTGGATGTGAGCAAGGCCAGAGAGCACATGTGAGCCGCACAAGCAGGAAATCTAGACCCTCACAATATCCACACTGCTGCCCCAGCGCCTGTCAGCTCATGCCGATGGCTACACAGAGGCTCCCCTGTGACTTGTTTTGGAGGATGTTTTGGATTGTGTCCCTCAAAAATATGTGTTGAATTTACCTGTAGATGTAACCATTCCACTTGGGAACGTGCAGCAATGTGTCCTGACTGGAAGTGACACATATTCTGAGCAGGTTTTGCCTTTCCTGCCCTCAGTACAGCCAGCACCACTGTATAAGGGCTTAAAGAAGGTCTGACTCACCAACATGGTGTACCATATACATCACTTATGGGACCCACTTTAGAGCAAAGAGGTGAAGTAAGGGGCACAGGACCATGGCTCCACTGCTCCTACCACATACAGCACCAAAGCCACCAGCCTGTAGAGCAGCGGTTCTCAAAGGAGGGTGATTTTTGCCACCCACAGGATATTTGGTAATGTCTAGAGACATTTTTGGTTGTCACAAGTGGGGTGCGGGGAGTGCTCCTGGTATCTAATGGGTGGGGGACAGTCTATAATATACAAGATAGCCATCCCACAACAAAGAATGATCTGGTCTAAAATGTCGGCAGTGCTCCTGTTGAGAACCCTATGACAGAGCAATGGAGGAACATCTGAGGCACCAGCTTGGAGATGCTGCCCTGTGAGGATGGGGTATTATCCTTCAGGATGTGAGATATGTCCTAAATTAATGACCATTACATGGTGCTAGGTTCCCAAATGATAGAATACATGGATCTGGGAACCAAGGGGTAGAAGGAAAAGTGGACTTGCTATCACTCCCAGTGACCCACTTGGAAAATTTGTGCTTCCCATCCCTGCAACTTTAGGTCTCAGTTTCCAAAGGAGCAATGCTTCTAACAGAGGGCACAGTAAACATCTCATTAAGCTTTAAGCTATGTCTGTCACTCGGTCACTTCAGACTCCCATGCCAAGAGTCCAGCAGACAAAGAAATGAGTCACCATATTGACAGGAGTAATTGACCCTGGTATTCAGGAGGTAGGGCTGCCATTACACCTTAGCAGTACCCCTTGCCCCATTTTGCTGGTAAATGGACACATGCAGTAGCCACAAAGCAAGATAAGCATGGTGACCAGAGTCTGAGACTCCTCAGAGATGAGGATCAGGGCCACCTCACCTAGACCAGCAGAAGTGCTGGCTGAGGGTGAGGGAAATCTAGAATGGGTAGTAGAGGAGGGAGATGATGAGTGTCAGTTACAGCCTCAAGATCAGCTGCAACGTTGGGGATTGTAGTTCGATCCACTAATCATGTTCTTATGTTTCCCCAGGAAAAGAAACCAATTAGAATCCAGATCACATAGGCTTTTGTAGGTCACAGTGAGGAGTTTGGATAAATTCATTTTCATGGTTAAATGAACTTTCCAGCCCTTGCCCTTGCTCAGTTTCTCAGAAGTTGGCAGCTAGGCATATTCTTCTTCCCTACCCTCTAGTCAGGGAGTAGTTGTTTCTCTGGAGAAATGCTGTAGATACTGCCATTTGGGGTCTTCCAATGAAACAGTCAGGGCTGGAAAGAAGGTAATCTGAGGTTTCATCCATTTTTGATTGGTGAAAACAAGTCTCCCTCCTACTTCTGTCCCTTGTTCCCTCCCCCAAAGGCAGCCCCTTATTACTAATTTCTTGTGCTACCTTTCAGCATTATTCTAAGTATACAGAAGCATATGCTTATGTACAATATTCACTTTTTTATATACATAAATGTTATCACACTACTCATACTGTTCTACCCCTTACTTTTTCCCTTAAAATACCTCTTGTCTTAGAAACAACGTAAATTATTTTCCATATACAGCTTACCTCCAGTCTGCCTTGTTGTATTTTATGCACCACTTGGGGATTCTCCTGTAGTATGGTGCCATAGAGCTCACGAAAGTGAACTATGTTGGGCTTCACAATATTCAACACTTTTGTCTTATCTTCTCCAACCACCATCCGAAAGTCACCTAGTCAAAACAAACAGAAAAACAAATCTTCCATTGAGAATCCACAAGCAGTCCCCACACTGATTCTGCACTAGTTCCCCTGGCAGGATCCCTCCCCAAAACATTTCTTTTTCCTCCTTAAAGCCATGCACACATTACCCAAGGAAAGAAGGGACTGGTTTGGGGGAAAAGAGGGGACCTGTAGGTGACACACAGCTTCAGTTAAAATACAGTTAGCCAAATACAAAAGGTTATCTTCATCCAGAAGCCAGATTTTTTGTTTGCTTGTTTTTTTTTTTTGGCCAGTGCAGAAGCTCTGGTACTTGTAAATTTTCATTTTATGAACAAAACTCTGCCTGCAAGCAATCAGGGGGACAGTAGTTGTGCACTGCCACTTGTCCTTGCTATTGCTTACTCATCTTTGACCTGTTTAATGTGTTTGCATAAGGGTTTTGAGGTGCTTTATGAATATTATTAACCTTATTATGTTTGATAATGGCAAGAGCAGTGAGGGTTAAAAATCCTAGCAAGAAAAGTTTACTTTCAAGATGAAACTGAAAGCAGATATAAGTTCAAAAATTGCAAGTGGTGAAAAATGAAGGATATTGCATTGGCCTATGGGATGACTTGAGCTGAAAAAAAAAAATATATACAGAAGGACAGAGCAACTTTTAAAACAAGTGAAAAGTGCCCTACCCGTGCCATTGACAAACATCAGCAAGATGTTGGGGAAAAAAGGGTTAAAATAGGAAAACATGAATGAATCCCTATCAAAAAAAAAACCAAACCCATTGCCGCTGAATTGATTCCAACTCGTAGAGACCCTATGGGACAGAGTAGAACTGCCCCACAGGGTTTCCAAGGAGTGCCTGGTAGATTCAAACTACCGACCTTTTTGGTTAGCAGCAGTAGCACTTAACCAGTACACCACCAGAGTTTCCGAATGCCTGTTGGGCCAATGTTAATTCAAAAGAGCTTATACACATGTATGGGAAGTTCCAAGGTTAAGCTTAGTGAAAGGAGTACAGCTGAAACATTTGTTGGATGGTTACAAAGATATAAAGTCTGTTTGGGTGAGTACTGGCAAGTATAGGCAGACACCTCAGCTTCTAAGAAAGCCCCTGTAACTAGGTGACTGTGATCACCTCCATGATAGGATCTGCTGTGAGTAGCCAATCAGTTGAAAGGGAGTTTCCTTGGGGGTGTGGCCTGCATCAAATATAAGTGGACCTTCTGGCAAGGCTTGTGGGCTTTTGCTTGCTCTGGATCCAGCAGCAGAGATGAACACTGAGTCCCTGATATGGAACCATCCCTCGAGGTAATCAGCCAGCAACCTGGTGGCAAGCTGATTACATTGGACCACTTCCATCATGGAAAGGGCAGTGATTTGTTCTTACTGGAATAGACACTTACTCTGGATATGGATTTGCCTTCCCTGTACACAATGCTTCTACCAAAATACCATCCGTGGACTTACAAAACGCCTTATCCACTGTCATGATATCCCACACAGCATCACCTTGGATCTAAGGACTCACTTCACAGCAAATGAAGCACGGCTGTGGGCCCATGCTCATGGAATTCACTGGTCTTACCATGTTCCCCATTATCCTGAAATAGCTGGCTTGATAAAACAATGGAATGGCCTTCTAAAGACACAATTATGGCACCAGCTGGGTGGCAATACCTTGCAGGGTTGGGGCAATGTTCTCCAGGAAGCCCTATATACTCTAAACCAGTGTCCAATATATGGTGCTGTTTCTCCCATAGCCAGGATTCATGGGTCCAGGAATCAAGGGGTGGAAATGGGAGTGGCACCACTCATTATTACCCCCAGTGACCCACTTGCAAAATTTTTGCTTCCTGTCCCTGTGACCTTATGCTCTGTGGGTCTAGAGGTCTTAGTTCCAAAGGGAGGAATGCTCCCACCTGGAGACACATCACTGATTCCACTGAACTGGAAGCTAAGAATGCCACCTGGCCACTTTGGGCTTCTTATGCCTCTGGATCGACAGGCAAAGAAGGGAGTTATCATGTTGGCTGGTGTGACTGATCCTGATTACCAAGAGGAAATTGGATTGATAATACATAATGGAAGTAAAGAAGAGTATGTCTGGAATGCAGGAGATCCCTTAGGGCATCTCTTGACCATGCCCTGTGATTAAAGTCAATGGAAAACTAAAAAAATCCAATTCTGACATGACTACTAATGGCCCAGACCCTTCAGGAATGAACGTTTGGGTCACCCCAACAGGCAAAGAACCACAACCAGCTGAGGTGCTTGCTGAGGGCAAGGGAAATATGGAATGGGTAGTCGAACAAGTTAGTTCGAAATACCAGTTATGACCACATGACCAGTTGCAGAAATGAGGACTGCAATTGTTATGAGTATTTCTGCTTTGTATGTGTGCATCAAATATTTTTGTTTTCTTCCTTATAACATATCAGATATAAACAGGGCTAGTGCATATTCAGTTGTATGTGTGTTCAGTGTATCATGTTAGGCACAAGTATGACTACTGTCTTTATTTAGAGATTATGTATAGGTGTTTAAAGAGATGTATATAGGTGCCAAGCTGACAAGGGGTGGACTGTGAACATTAAGGTTGTGTGTCAACTTGGCTGGGCCATGATTCTCAGTGGTTTGGCAGTTATGATGTAGTTTGGTAGTCATATGATGACGTGATCACTTCCATGATGAGATTTGATATAATGTGATCACCTTCATGATAGGATTTGCTGGGAATAGCCAATCAGTTGAAAGGGAGTTTCCTTGGGGGTGTGGCCTGCACTGAATATAAGTGGACTCTCTGGCAAGACAGCTTTTGCTTGCTCTGGATCCTGCAGCTGGCTCCTGTTTGTCACCAATTCAACTGTTTCTATGTGTTCAATTCAGTGACACTGATTACACTCTTCGAGTTGTGCAACCATTCTCATCTTCCTTTTCTGAGTTGTTCCTTCCTCATTAATATAAACTCACTGCCCCTAGGGTTCCTATGTAATCTTTTCAGTTGCTATACATATATATATATATATGTATGTATATATATATATGTATGTGTATATATATATATATATATGTATGTATATATATATATATATATACATATATAGTTCTCAAAAGAGCATAAGGCTCAAGGAAGAGATTTTCTACTAGTTAAGCTAAACTATTGTTTGGTTTTAAGAAGACTTCAGGGGATATTTTTGGGTTAAATTTTAACGATTACCTCAGGGCAATAGTTTCATGGGTTCATCCAGCTTCCATGGCTCCAGAAAGTCTGGAGTCCATAAGAATTTGAAATTCTATTCTGTATTTTTCCCCTTTTGATCAGGATTCTTCTATAGAATCTTTTATCAGAATGTTCAGTAGTGGTAGCTGGGCACGATACAATTCTTCTGGTCTCATGGCAAAGGAGGCAGCTGTTCATGGATGCAATTAGCCACACATTCCATATCCTCCTCCTATTCCTGACTCTACTCTGTTGCTCCAGAGAAATAGAGACCAATTGTTGTGACTTGGATGGCTGCTTGCAAGCTTTTAAGACCCCAGGCACTACGTAATGAACTAGGAGGTAGAGAAGAAGCACTAAACACATTATTAGGCCAATTAACTAGGATGTTCCATGAAACATAAACCTCCAAACCAAGGAACCAAATCCCATGAGGTTTCTGGTTGTACATAAGCAGACTTAGCAGTTACTTTTTTTTTTTTGGTTGTCGTTGTAAATATATCTATCATCCAACTTTTGCCAATTCAGCTTTTTAAAGGTGTACAACTTACTGACAGCAATTACAATAATTGGCTGTGCAACCTTACCCTTAATCAATGCATTTTTATCATTTTTATCATCATGAACTAGGTCACTTTTGAGAGTGAAGGGGCTCTATGAAAAATCACACCAGGACAAATATAAACTGGGCAAACCAGGACATGTGGTCACCTTTGCCTATTTTTTTTCTATGGAGGAAGAAGGAATCAAGGAGATTATTACCTGTCAAAACAGATTTTCTGCGTTAAAAAAAAAAAAAAAAAAAAAAGATCCTCAGTTGTATGTACTTCAGTAGGGCGTAAAATATGCTGGGTTTTTAAACTTCAAAGGACCAACCCACATTCCAGTCTGGTAGAACAGCATCTGGGGACTGCAGGTTAAGAAAAATGGACTTAAGACACAGCCTTTGGGAACCTAAGCTTTGGGTAGATGAGGTCTGACTGTTGAGTGGAGTGAGCAAAAGTGAGTCCTGTCATAGCAAGCTGCCCAAATATGGAGGAACTTGTTTTTTCACTATTATTTTAAAGGTAAAAAGAGTTACACAGTTAAAACCTGGGATGAATGCTAGTGAGAGAGCAGAGAAATTGGCCTTTTCACATAGTATTGCTGTTCACATCATAAACTGCTAAAATCCTTCTGGAAAGCAATTAATCAAGAAACTCCATCTCTGGAGAGCAAGCCTAAAGAAACTGAAATAGGGTTCAAAAGGTCATATGTTTACTGAGCACTTGGTAAGCGCCAAATCCTGTTCCACGTGTTTTGTATATTACTTCATCTGTTCCACACAGCTACCCTCTCGGGCAGATATTATTTTACCTCCATTTAGCAAACTAGGCAACAAAAGCACAGATTAAGTAACCAGCCTTAGATTTCCCAGCTAGTAAGGGAACACAACAGGTCCCTGGGTGGTGCAAATGGTTTGTGCTGGATTACTCACCTAAAGGCTGGCAGTTTGAACCCACTCAGTGGCACTGCAGAGGAAAGGCCTGGCGATCTGCTTTTGTACATATTACAGCCAGGAAAACCCTAGGGAGCAGTTCTACTCTATAATACCAGGGGTCACCATGAGTCAGAATCAACTTGATAGCAACACGTTTAGTTGGTTTGTTAAGGGAATACATTATCCACATAAAACTGTTCATTGGAAGCAAACAAAATGTCCAACAACAGGGGAATAGCTACACTACTGATAGTATCCCCATCTCCACCCCATGTCATGGAATAGTGTACGACCACCAGAATTAGTCACCA